TATAAATTGGCAAAATATGTGGTCTCCAAAACATGGCCAGAGGAAAAGCAATAAACATTTCCTTGCGCCACAATATAACACACTGATATTCTCTTGTGTATAAAATCATATACTCTATATGAAATCCAATCATTTAAAATTCCCCTCTTTCAAGGGGAAAAAATTAAGAATTCGTGAAAATTTGGTGGCATCTTTTAAAATTCTTCTCAAAAAACCACTGGGCAAGAACAGATGAAACTTAAGTGAAAGCTTCATTACATACTCTAGATTAAAATTTGTTTATATCATAATCCCCGAGGGTAGGGCGGGGCCACAAGAGAAGGTCGAAGTTTTACATAGGAATATTTAGGAAATATCTTTAAAAATCTTCTCGAGAACAACAAAATCATGATTAGTCATATTATAATAGAAGTATCTTCGGGTAGTGTAGATTCAAATTTGTTCCAATCATGACCCCTGGGGGTAGGGCATGGTCACAACAGGGGGTCAAAGTTTACCATAGGAATATATAGCCATAGTTTACCATAGGAAATATCTTTAAAAATCTTCTTCTCAAGAACAGCTAAGCCTTTATTAGTCATATTAATAAAGAAGTATCCTCAGGTAGTGTAGATTCAAGTTTGTTCAAATGATTCCTGGGGTAGGGCTGGGCCACAACAGTGGGTCAAAGTTTTACATAGAAATAAATAGGTGTTATTGTTAAGGGGCATTTGAGTAAAATGCAGTGAAGATTTCAAATAGTGGAATGACCCGACAACCCTTGGAATGGACTAGAAAAGGATATATAAGCTTTGTGAAGACAGGTATTCAGAAGCTAGCTGAAGAAGTTGGATGTTGAATCAGCAATAAATAAGGGTAAGAGCAGAATAAAAGTTATAAAGTTCCAGTGGCAAGTATCCTAGGGAATTGATGTTAAGTTCTGGGTGTAGTAAATCTGAAGAAGATTGAGACACCCGGTTCTTATCTATCAATGGGAACCTAGGGGAGAAACACGGTGCATGTAGTACCTTACCCAGTCCCTGTCCCTAGATAAGAGAAAATGTAAGTACTGTATGATATACCCTCAAACAGAGCTGTCTTAATTATCATTCTAATCATTATCCCAGACAGAGTAAAAGGAAAAGCTATATATCCCTTGGGTTTAAGTAATTAGACAATTCAGTGTGCAAATAATGGTCTAACAACGTCAATAAGCATTCGTTGTTGATATCCTTGTTTCATCAACATGTTTGTCAATAGCTTGCCTCGTTTTAGAAATTGTTGGTACGTACGTAGAGCATGCTGTTGCGTATCGAATCAACTGGGAGGCATAAACTTCATATGCAGGTGATAAGGGTATATTGCTGCATAAATATAGGAAGATAGATAGAAAAGTTGAAGCCATTACGTTTATCATAACGTTTGTTGTTTGGTTACCATTAACGTCTTTTTCTAGTAAAATACCCAAATTTGAAAAAGACTTTCCAGACTCTGTGGTATCTTTTATTTCAAGTTCACTTGGGTATATTGAGTAGACATATGAATGAGAGTAACTATTGTTAATTGATAATACGTCGTTGATATATCTAAATGTCGAGTTGAAGGCCACAGCAAGTGTTTTCTTTTTCTCATATAGAAGATTTTGAGTAAATTTTGTTTCATATGAATATAGAAATAGGTTTGATGATAAATGGCGCAATTGGTATCCATTTGTTTCCTACAGATTGTTGAAAGATTTGATCTCCAAAAACGACATAGATATTGTCAATCAAAAACTTGAGCATCTTTTTAACTTTTCAACTTCGGAGTACTTGTGTGTACAATCGGAATGTTTTGTTTAAACAAAATAATTTTGAAAATGACCAATGACAAGGTAAGTAATTTTTTTTTTATTGAAAAAGCACCTGTCTATGATTTCAAAAGCTGGACTTTAATTTAGAGTGGTGAATGGTTGTATAAAGTGTTGAGAAGTCGTGCGTTTTGATGTTATTGATTTTGTAAAAATTTTGTGATTTCAAATTTTCTAAAAGTTCTTTAAAGGTTTTAAGTATCCACATCTGATTTACGTCACTTCTTGAATATATAGTTGTACCGTACTCCTGAAGTTTCTCCTTCATTGCTGTTAATATTTTAGTGAGGAGTAAAGAAAGAGGCTTGGTAGACCATTTACTGAAACCCGCTATGTAACTTTGTAAGAAATTTTATGTAGTTTTGGAATCCAGTATAAGAATGGTAATTCAATATATACATGTACTAATAACCAAAAAAAAAAAGTTTTGTTAAGTCACCCCCTCAGTTTTAGCAACTAAATAGACTAAATCTAATTGATATGGAGGCACTTCTGTCTGCTGAACATGAAAATTTTGAAATTTTTAAGTTTTTGAAAGAATTAAAATTGGGGAAATATGTAATTCATGTATTATGATGTGGAAAGATTCTTACATGCATTTTCAAAAGATATGAAGAATGGTAGAAGGAATTTTAGGATGCAAGGTGATATTGCTTTAATTCTGTAATTTTTACTATCATTGTTAAGGTCATTTTAGCTGTCTTTTCAGCTCTAGGTAAAAAAAAAGATTTTGAAAAAAGGAAGTAATTAAAGAAAAACTTTCAAATTACACAAAAAGTAAAAGAATATTTTATATTTAAGGTAGGTCCCTACTCAGAGTTTTAATGGTTAAAATGATTTTTTTCTCTTGAAATTATTAGAATAACACTTAATGTAAATAAAAAACCTAAAAAATAAATAACTTTTTATGCTACTTTTCATACTAGAGTGCCCCGATGACGTATACCCTCTTCTTTTATCATACTATTTCAACCAAATTCAATATATGGCTCATATCAAAAGCAATATCAAAGCAAGATTACTTTCAAATGTGAACTCGAAATAAGACACCACAGAGTCTGCCACGTCTGTTTCATATTTTGATGTTTTACTTACTATAGATGATAAAGGCCATCTAACAACTAAACTGTATGACAAACGGGATGAATTCAGCTTTTCTATCGTCAATTTTCCTTACTTATATAGTAATATTCCACAATCAACTGCATATGTTGTTTACTGTAAATCATTAATCTGGGTGGGGTTTCCTTTTAGTGGTATGAAGAAACCTACGAATTCAAGTCCTCCACGAAATGTAAAGTTGTAAATATTTAAAAACTGAACACTTCTTCGATCACGAATTTTAATCCCCATTTTTTTTTTGTCAAATCACGAAAATGTGTGATTTCACAGTATGTCCCACAACTTATTCGATACTCAAGAGCATGCTATGATATGTTCAATTTTTAAACCAAGACAGGCTACTGACAGATAAGTTGATGTTACAGGGATTTCAAAAACCTCGTTTGGTAAATTCTGTTGTCGTTATAATGGTCTTGTTAGCAAATATAACCTATTAATGGGTCGTATTTTGACTGACATATTTCATACAAATTGTTTTTAATATTAATTTTGACTAAGGACCCCACCTTAATTTCCAGGTGTCTGTATTTTATGCCCTGTTCACACATTTGTATTGTCTATAGATTTACTTCTCGTCATCAGAATTGCACGGAAAGCCAGAGAGAACAAGTTTGACGGGGTTTCTGACCTCTCTAGACTTTCCTGCAATTCCAGGACACCTCTACACTTTACACAAAATTTAAATCCAATACACAAAATATACCATCCTGAAACAGAGCCCCATATAGGTTTGATACGCCAATGTCCAGCGTAAATGGTTAAATACAACAATGTGCAACTTAAATTTCCAATGCACAGTGTATATGGTCAATTGAAAAGATCCTGATTAAAAAGGCACATGCAACACACCAAAATAAAAAAGAGAATGGAAAATAATTCATAAATATTAGTGTAAAATTTCAAAAGAGAAAACCTCTACTGTGATCACAATTTACAATGATATTGTGATCGCAGTTTACTGATCACACGGATAGACAAATAATCTTAAGATAGATAGAAGATAACAATATAAAATTGACCCTTTGTTCGGAAATTGTACTTCTGTTCGTAAAAAGAAATTTGACAATGTGTTATTCCTTCTATTCCTACTTGATAGGATCCAGTAAGACTGACAATGTAGAAGGATATTTAAGCAATCATTTCTTGGACAATAGTATAGAAACCAATGTATCAAATTGTTAATTAGCTTTGACGCATGACATTGCACTCAGCTTAAACATAAATGAATCCAATTCAATAGTAAACAAATACTGCACAAAGTCGGTTAAAAGAAAACAATTCCCGTCGGTGGTTGTGGTTAAAGGAAATGCAAAACGCTAAAAAAAAACTGTCTGGGTACCCATCCCAGACAATTTACCACAGATCATAAAGATACTATTATTAACACGATTCGATGATAATTTTGAAAAGGATTGACAAAAACATATCTTTATTCGTTCATCAATCCGTGTTTTCCCCTTCTCTATAATTGAAAAAAAGAATGATTTAGTGTGACAAAGTTCTTGATTAGCGCAGTGAAACATAATTCAGACGGGAATTCCCGTTTTCCCTCCAATCAGTCTCCAATTAGTTAGACAAGTCGACTAGGACGTTACAATTTGCTCGGAAATTGCATTAATACCTTTTGCATGAAAAAAGAAATGACTTTGAAAGGTTTGATCAATAAACCTGCTTTTGTCTCCTTTAATTATTTTTATGAAACCCCTTTGGACACAGCCAGACTCTAGCCCCGATGTATCGTACATCCAGTTTTATATTTCCTCCCTAATGCATCTTCTAATGAAAAGAATAGCTAACGTGATGCTTTTTACACTTTGTTGAGGATAGGGTTTCTTGACCATGATCAACATTTCCCGCTATAATTCATTAGAAAGTCATTACAAGACCATGTAAATTTCAGCAAGCTTTTAGCCGGATAAAATTTCCTTAATCCCGACTTTAATGCTACTTGTTGCCATGTCAGTAATGGCACCGCTATCCGCTGGAATGTAAAAGGTTCGATATTAATTCTTTCAACTAGCTGCAATTCATTACAGCGCTATTGATGAGTCGGGAAACGCTATTGGCAGAACAAGAAACGGGGTTGGAAAATAAAAGCCGAAGCAACAGTCGGTCTGTCGCGGCGGCGAGTGACGGGTGAGTACAACTTTATGTAAATGTAAAGACTGTTATCAACCAAAATGACACTGACAAATTTGTATATTATACATTTTTCCCGTATAAATTCGATAAGAATAAAAAAAAAGAAATAAAAAATAAACGTTCATTACTCTGAATAAAAATAACTGTTTCGAAATATTTAAAGGTTTCGTGTTCAGTGTTTTATGCACTGTTAGTATTATTTCATTCAGGAATTATGAAGTTTCGTCGATACACAAACAAAAAAATCATAAATTATTTGTGGTGATGCCGTAGTTTTAATCATTACTCAGATCGGTATCGTAATTTTTTAATTATCAATTAGTATAGTTTCTGTGACTAGAATGCGGGGACCAAATGCTTAGTTATTTCTGTCCAAGGTTGATGTATATTGTATACTAGTAGTAGATAAAAAATAATATTGTGCAGGCAATATAAAAAAAAAATATTGTGCAGGAAAATCCCCAGAGATCTTTTCGAAAGATAATTTAAATGATAATAATAAGTAGCACAATATGAATATTGAATCATACATATCATAGTACAACATTTGGCTCTGCGTGTGTTCTTACATGAATTTTTAGAGCCGTTGTTTGACATGGATCTAAAAAGACAACCTGACGACAATTCATGCTTGATTTCTGTAACACTCATCGATTTTGTAATTTTACTTTTAGCATTTTCAAAGAAACTAGGCAACTGAAATTAGTTCACCATGTCACATTCTTATCAGCATGATTACGGGGGTTGTGGGTAATTTTCTAAAACACAAAAATCTCTGTAATCTGGCTTCCGGGAATAAGTGAGATCTCCAAACCTCAAAATCTTTTATTTTCCTAGATTCCTAAGATTACTTTGGTTCAAATGGCAGAGGAAAATTGTTTTCAAACAAAACGCTCCATTGTTTCAGTTCCTAATTCGTTTAAGTTTTAAGAGCTACAAAATGTTCCTGCAACAGTTTCATATATCTTGACATATTTTCTCTGTTCAAAACAACTAAAATCAGCTGTTTCTACTTATATTTTTTTTCTACAGTAAAACAAGATCGATCTTATCTTGAGTGTTTCCGATGTAGGGCAAAATTACCACAAATTCTTTGAATATAATGAATTAAAAACATTAAGGTAAGCTTTTTATTATTAGTTCTTACAACAATAAGAACTTTGACTTGGAAGCAATACTCATGTATTGAAATTTAACTTACCTTGTGAAGAACATTCCTAAGTTACGTAAAAGCAAGCGTTAACAGGTGGAAAATGTGTTATTTTGAGTGTTTGTTTGTTCGTGTGTACTGAATGATAATACTTTTGCAATGCTATGGCTATCCAGTAGTACAGTAAAACACGGTGATAGCGAATCGATGCGTGAATTCGTTATAACCGCTATATGAATTCACGCTTACAGTGAAGTGACTTTAAGATTTATTCCGTGTGGTTTCAAAATTGTTCGTCCTTGGCACTTCGCTACAAGCGTGTTTTACTATACACGTACTGGAACATAGGCTGTCAGATAGATAAGCCTTGATATTGAATAAATGAATTGAAAAAAGAATGTAAAGTTTGCGTAGAGGGACGCATTTTGTTAAATAACGCTTCTGAGAATCTTGAGCTCAGAAATCAAAGCGCAACAGTGCCAATATTACATAAGAACATTGCCCATTTCATTACAACAGTGCCTATTACATTTCGCTTTTCACACTGAAAATTTATCATTTTCGATTTAATTCGCAAAGAAAAGAATTATGTTTTATTTTTAAAAAAAATTACTGCAATGATAAAAATAAATGCAAAAGACGCCCAAAGAATAAATCAACAATATTTTTCATATTGCTTTTTGCTGTTTATATCATAAGGATCTCATTATATTGTAAAGTATAATACTTGATAGTTTACAAAGAATTAGATGCTTGTATGAGATACCCACACATATGCTGATTCTGTCCAAAGCAACTACACACTAGTCTATGAACTCATAGATATACACAAGGGAAAATGTCACAGTGAAACATAAGGATTCTTTTATCAGTTATCACGACATTTCAGATATCTTAATTCTTCAGGAAGCTAACAATTCGGAATCATGTTAATGTCCTTTGCAAAATAAATCTTTCTTACAGACGACTGACGTTCACAATTTGACCAAATTCTTCATGGATATATAAACGCAAATGATTTCACCTCTTTCATTCTGCAATTTTAATAAAAGAAACCTTTTTCATTTTTTAGCGATACCGATGTATTGTAAATAAATATTCTTATATACATTTATAACTTCCAAAATAGACACGTGTACATATTTATTTAGAATATACAAATGTATCTCTTTCAAGGAAAGAGAAATTATTGAAGAATAAAAAGAAATAAATAATAAAGAGATGAGATTTTTTGCATAACTTTTTCAATGTAAAGGATTTAGGGTTTAGAAATTTACATTGCGGTGACGTAATTTGTGTTGTCATTACTCAAATCAGTAAGATGAAGGCATGCTTTATTAACTTGTTCTTTGTCCCTATTTGTTATTTTAATTCTTAGCATTACCCTGGTGAAAAATTCTCGAGAGGGACGTTAAACAACAAACAAACCAACCAACCGTCTAGGGTCCGGTAACATTAAAAAATTAGAATTGCACGTCAACAATTAAACTTTAACCAAAGCAATATCGTTTTATTTTTTTCCAAATTTTTAAACCACCTCTGATGCTTTAGAGGCCCGTGTTTGCTCTGCTCCTGATTTGTAATGTTTAAATGGACTTTTGAGCTTGAATACTCTTCGTTATCTCCATATATTTTATCTAGAGAAAACACTAAGTTGAGAACTAATTTTCTTTTGTAACTTTTCAGTTAAGGCAGTAAATAATGTTCTGAATTATTTCCTTTTACTACACGAGTTGGACAAAAGACTTACTAAGTAATTCCGCACATAAAATAGCGAAAAATCACACATATATATATACTACAAATATTGAAGACATTGGAAAAGCTCATGTATTCACACCTGACAATTTTTTAAGAAAATTGAACCGATATAAGTTCAGGAAACAGAAAAATGAATTGTCATATCCTTTTTATCAACGCATCTATCATTTTGCAAGGAAAATAAAATTTTTGAATACAATTATTACTGGTTTTTACAATTTACATTTGACAGCAGTGAACTTAATTTGTCGATTAAAAGGTGTATGACAGAATGTGTTACTGTTAAGTGTTTCAATTTTTTTAAATTTTCACAATACTTAATTTAGATCATTCATATCAGTAGTTAGCATGGACTGTATCGATGTCATTAAATCAATACCATGACAAAGAAAGGAATGATCTATGATTTGAATACATTATTTACTGACATTACACCTGATCTGCTGCAGTTAAAGCCGATCCTTTACTCTAAATTTGTCAGCATCAGCGCTATTGTACGAATATCAACCTTCCGGAGGCACGCGACCGAGCATTATTAAAATGAAAGACTATATATGTCCTATTTGATATTTATAATTCATTAGATATTTTGCTTATCAGCTTATTGTATAAGAACTTTTGAATTTCTTGCATTGCAGTGTTGAAGACTAACAATAATAATAATGAACCTTGATACTTGGTAAGGAGTCGCGGAAGAGGAGCTAAAATGGTTCAAATATTTTATTACGAAAATCGAGGAAAATGTTGTCGAAAAGTTTTCAACTACGAAGGTTACCCAACGAAGGTGATGCTGTTTCCTTACGAGGGATGGGCACATCCGGTTCCTGTGACGTATTGGACATTAAAAACCTATTGGTGGAACCGATCACGGTGTAAAATCGTAGAGGTTTCCGGAACAAAACGAAGAACGACAAAGGCAAAAATGTCTGACAAAGGAAGTGGCGCAATGGTTATATCGGGAAAATTTAAAAACACCCCTAGTCCTGACTTTCGAATGACTTTGACGACAAACATTTCTAACGAAGATTTTCAGCTGGGTTACTGTGTGACCGGGACTTTAGAGCGAGGGGACAAAAAGAAGGGCGATCTTCAACTCGCACAATTTGCCATGGTGAAACGCCGTGGATACTAACCCAAAGATGAACTTCTATCTCATTTATTTTAATCAAAAGATCCTGGCTCTAATTCTGACCACGAAAATCAATATCGACAATAGATATAAGTGCTGTATTAGAAGCATGTAGCACGCCGAGACACATAAAAACTGCTTAAGAAGAAGCACAAAGACATCCTCTGCCTCAAGCTAAGAAAAAGGAGTTGGGGGCTTCACATTCCATTTCTCATTTCTATAAGAAAATATTCTGTTTTATTTCGCCTATAAAAGGGACACTCAAGACAGACGTCTCCCTCCGACAGCCATTTTTATCTTTGTACCAGATAAACTTATTAGAGAGCCGCTGTTGAAAAGTGTGAACTTTTGAGCGTGATATTGCATATCAGAGAACTCATTTATGTCGCATGAAATGCACATCTTGATAAGTATTCCATTTGATGTTTGTGATTAATTACTCTGTTTGTGTTCCTGTTACCACATAACGTTTGACGTTGCCATTATACCTGTGTCGGTAGTTAAAAGTGGTGCTTGTTAATTATTCATCGATATGTATAAGTTTGACGAAATGTAAAATATTCCATGATTTTCAATAAACTACATAGTTCCTTTACAGACAATGAAATATGCACGAGCCATCAGACATTCCAAGAAAAAGGTGTGCAGATTACCTGTTTGATAAGATACGACTGTGATGTTATCAGGTGTCTCCATCAATTGTAAATTACTGTCGATTTCTCATCAAGTCTCAGACTCTGTAACGTCACTTTAGAATTCACAGCTTTACTGCTTCTGTGATTGATGTTTCTGCTTTATTAAAATATTCCCATTTCATATAAAAAACAAACAAACTGAAATGTTACCGTTTAATGTTTGTGTACAGAAAATGTTTAATAACTAACTTTTCTGGTTGTGAAATATTCAGAAAATTGTTACACCTTGTGAATACCAGGAGACAAAGTAAACTTTATTGAACACAATTTCAAACTGCTTAAATTGGAAGTTGGCATCACATGATAAAAAAAATGGACAAAAAAAAATGAAAAGCGCTTTTAAAATCAATTTTCCAAAGAAATAACAAAAAAAAAAATGTTTCTTTAAACAAAATTGAAGTTTGAAACTCGCATGCACAATTATTGTTTTCTTGAAATACGATTTTTTGTGCTTTTTGGCTTCCATTTCTTACGAGCTAACATCACCATCGCTTTTCATTCGTATCTGTCTGAGACTTGCATTTTAATTTTTATATCAACCTACAAGATACATAATTATTATAATAGCTTAGTATAATTTAAATTATGAAATTTTATTGTACCATTCATTCTGCACACACTCCAAAATCGACTGAAGAATAGCAAAAATTGTAATATATTAGCAAGAATGTCAAACTCACAGACCAAGTCACATTATTTTTGCATAAGGAAAAACTGATACTTCAGAATGTAAACAAATACATGTAGATTCATTGTAAACTTTATGAGGAAAAAATATATATATTGGTTTCTTTTTATGTGTTTTACAATTCTTACAGGTACATGTATAAATTTCTTGCTTTATTCTAGTCATTTAACGATTGATTATATATCTGATCGTCTGGAAATTAATCACGTCATTTCCTGTGTTGATATTTCTTTTTCCGGCCCCCATTGTCTTCCCATGCATCGTGTCATATGGTGTCTTATCCACTTGCATGTTCGCTAGAATTATTGAACTTTACTGTCGGGCATTGTGACTGTTTCCAGACATGTACTATTTATAATTGAATAAATATTATGTTATCAATACTGTTTATTCTGGAAATCTGGTCGTTTACTGTTACGTAATATACAACCATTGCAATCATGGCATTTTGAATAGCCCAATAATGGATGTAAAAGCAGATATAATGACCATATTAAAAACGAATAATGTGCGGATCACAGGATAAACCGTTCATTGTTTGGATGCAGATGAAAAGATCATGTAAACGATGCCTCCGTCTGATAGCTCAGTCCTGATAACATTCTGACAACATGCCTTAGATCCTTGTTTAACCCGAACCTCTCTAAAGGAATATAAGCAGTTAGCAAATAGCTTTCCCTTTCTGGTATTAATGTCGTATCCAGACCAAAAGCTTTTTTTTCTTACTGGAGTTATCGTGGTTGGAATAGATACATGGATACCTAAATGAAAGACAGACTCGCAGTTATACTGAGTTTCACTTAATTAATAGTAGAAATAAGAAAACGAGATTAATAAGAAATGTTAGAGCTCTGAGGAATTCTATGAATTAGATTTAGCTAGTCTATCGATATAGATTAAAAAGCATGTATTTCAAACTGGATATTTATCTCATTGCAAAACTCACGAGGATTTCTGTTAATCAAAGTGTACATCGTTATCTTGTGATAAATATTAGATTTTCATGGCCCCAATGATTAAATTGTGATTTGATGAATATTTCATTAATCAATCAATGATAGTATAGCCATGAATTAATTTGTTGATAGGGATAATCTGAATCAGTCGGTGTGAAGTTATTATTTACTTATTTACCAAAGTCTTAAAAAGAATCTAATTCAATACTGTTATATTTTCATCGTATAATCATATTATATATCGTATCATTTAGGCGGTGGTACGAGGTAAAAAACAAGAGGTCCAAGGACCTTAATGGTCACCTAAGTACAATACAACACTGCAAAGGATCCATTGAAGTATAAAACAAAATTAACTGATAGATGAAGCTATGTGGCCAAAGAATTTCAAAAATCTGGTAAAAATACCCTTGCTTAATGTAACAAGTCTTACAGGGATGATAATGAATGCAAAATATGCAAATACAATGGACACTTGCCTAGTATGTAAGGCATTCAATATACACAAATATGTTTCTGTCACTTGCCAAGTGCTACAATTCAGTACACAGAGACTTGGCTATACAGTGTGGCTATTTGACACTTGTCCCCTAGTCACCTTGACTTTCTGTGATTATTTGTTCACTTTGGCACAGTATATAGCAACTTTATCCAGTCTCTTGTCAACCATGAATTTACCTGACAATAACTCATCAACTGTTAAACAGGACACTACAGTATAAACATACTGTGTGAAATTGAACCTTTTGCTACATGTATAAATAATCTTTACATCAATCTTTTTTATTTTTTTTCCAGGCAAGAATCCGATTTTGAGCATTCTTTGCTCATTTAAACCAAACTTTTATTTTTATTTTGTTTCTATATATATTACATTCTTTCTTGTATTCTCATTCAATCAAATAACCTGTTAATTAAACCATACAGAAGGGTAGGAGCAAAGAAAAGGTACATTTACTTTTATTATACCTCTGTGAATTTTTTCTACATAAAAGTATGACAAATAAATCTTCTATTTTTTTCTAAACAGCCCCTACCGTGGAATAGTTTTTGTGCTATTTTCCCATGGTGAATAGTCATCAAACTATTCACCGGAAGCATTCCATTTCCCTCATTTTTCATCTCAAAACTATATGGGTTGTTGTATTGTGACGTATCTGGTCTGTGACGTAACAAAAGTAAAGTCGGCTTCGGTATAATAAAACACCTATTTACTGACTATTCGGACAATAGCAAGTTCAAAAGCTTAAAACCCATGAGCAGAGGAGAAGATTTTCAAAGAATTAATGCATGTTCACTATTTAATCATTAGAGCTCCGCCCTAACACCAGAACCCTTGACCCAGGGGCCATGAAATTCACAATTTTGGAAGAGGCATCCTGCCTTATCATAACTACGCATATAGTTTGTTTGCTTAGTACCCAGGAGCAGAGATTATTTTTTTAAGAAATAATGCATTTTCACTAGGGATGTCAATTTTGTCAATAATTCATATTCGAATATTCAATGAAAGTATTCGAATATATTCGAATATTCGATAAAATAAATAAAATCTGGTTTATTTTAAATATGCATCATCCTATTCTCATGAAAGGTTTAGTGTAGGTATTCTTATATTGGAAGTAAAATTGTGTGAAGGCTTTTGTAGGTGTACAATAAGGAATTCCATTTGATATTTGTCAATGTTTGAAACAAGTAATTGATTTAAATGTAGAAAAATATGATTTTAACAAATTTAATAAATTAATAGTAGCTCCAATTGAGGAACCAGTCGTCTTACCAAGGGCAGGATAGTCGTATACTGTTGAGATTTCAATACGAGTAATTCATTACAATTATCAGCCTAATAAGGAATATGATAAAAATCTTTGATATAATATTTGAAAAATTAAATCAAATATTTCCATAGACAATTTTCCTAGGTAATTAATTAATTTACCGATAATGAATATAAAGTTCAGGATTATGTACAACCCGAGATAATCAAGTAATTTACACATTTTTTTTTTTGAAATTGAGCCCTTTACAATATTAATTACAGACTAATTCTATCATAAACTCATTCAATGATCAATTAAATTTATTTTGATGAGTGTACTCTTCACGCCTTTTGGACATTCTAAGAAGGTTTTCAATTAATCAAAATGTATTAATCACAGTACTTCTTTTTATGAAATCTGTAAAACACCGAATATTCGAATCTTAAATTTATATATTCGAATATCAACCCATCGAATGAATATTCGAATGTTCGTTGACATCCCTAATTTTCACAATATATTCAACAGAGCCCCTCCCTAGCATCAGATCCCCTGACCCTGGGGCCATGAATTTTACAATTTGGTAGAGGGCTCAATGCTTATTACAATCATGCCAACACTTTGACTGATGTCCAGGAGTAAAGAAGAAGATTTTTAAAGATTGCATTAATTTTGATGGTTTTCGCCCCACCCCTCAGGTCCCAAGGGAGGGGGGGGCAGGGGCCATGAATTTCACAAATTTTACTTTCCTTCACCCATAGATGCTATATGTCAAAATTGATTGAAATTGGTTCAGTGGTTCCAGAGAAGAAGCTGAAAATGTTTAACGACGACAAAACGGATAGCAATAGGTCACCTGAGTACACTCAAGTGACGTAAAATGGACGAAAAATTCGATATGTAATTTCAGTTTTCTAGACTATACTTAAATATATATTCTACTTTTCAGATCTTTGTAGCTTTCAAAGTTTGAAAGTACTAGTAGTTTTATCCCGGAACTTTAAGTCAGTAAAAGTACACTTTCCATACTATGTAGCATCGATAAAGGTCTTGGATGAAACAGATGAGTTTACACGCAGTTGTAATTTAATGACATTGCTTCATGCTTTGTGTTATATTTGATCAATTTTGCTATTAATATTCAAATCTTGTTATTCATATTTGAGAACTTATTTGATTTATATTTTAAATCCTATGATATTCCAAATTATTTTTATTTATATTCAAAAACTTATGTTCAAAAACTTGTTATTCATATTTGTAAACTTGTGAAAAAAAAATTGTACGTAAAAAGTTGCTGGTTATATATGGTGTGTTAAACGCTGCTTTATTCGATAATCTTATGCTGTACATTCAAAATCTTGTGATATATATTCAAAATCACAAGATACTGAACATACATCACAAGATTTGAACATACATAACAAGGTATTGAACATACATCACAAGATTATGGAACATGCATAACAAGATATTGAACATACATCACAAGATTATGGAACATTCATCACAAGATATTGAATATACATCACAAGATTTTGAATATACATCACAAGATATTGAATATACATCACAAGATTATTGAATAAAGCAACGTTTTACATGTCAAAGTTCTATTTAAAAAATTATTATTTATACATATATGAATATCCAAAAACTTTTGATCTATATTCGAAAATATTGAGTATATTCTTATAATTTTTATGCAACATAATCATAAGATTATTGACTATTTATCAAAAGTTTTTGCTTATGAATAAAAAGTTTTCAAATTTGAATATTCATTTTTGGCATGTAAGTCACAAGATTATCGAATACGAATTACAAGTTTTTGTATATATATATATATATATATATATATATATATATATATATATATATATATATATATATATATATATATATATATATATAAGAATAAGATTAAGAATATGAATCATAAGTTAACAAATGTGAATGATAAGTTTTCGAATATGAATAACAAGATTTTGAATATAAATTAATATTTACCAGAAATAATAAAGACAATCCCTTAATATGACGGGTAAACATGCCTTTTTATTATATACCTGTACATACATGTACACATGTACATAAAATGCACTTGCCTTTTGGAAAATCGAACAAAATCTGACTGAAATACTGATTTCTAGTTCTACAGGTTATCTGTTCTTGGGAAAAACATTATTCTTCTGTAGCTCCTTTATACTGTTTATCCAATAAAATAATGGACGTTTTCTTCAATCATGCTGAAAGTGCTTTATTGTAACACATTATGAAGAATTACAGACATATAATGGAAAGAGTAGTCTTCCTAGGCTCTCGAGGGACTCCGAAATTGATCTAGCGGAAACAAACTCGGAAAATGGAAGGCATCCCGGAAAATCTGAATTGAAACTGTATGTCCAATGTTTTATGTAGAAAGATTAAGCTGAGCAAAGGAACTCACCGAAGACCCACTCTGTTCTTTGTCAGAATTTGTGGAGGTAATATATGCGACCATTTGTTTAAAGGTCTGACAGGAATATTATTTCTAACATGAATTTATTTCAGATCTGAATTTCATGAGATTTCTTGCAAATGACTATGTCATTGAATTGAGTAGGTTTCATAGATTAATTAATTGTTAGAAATACCATCATTCTAAAAATTTAGAATAACTTTTAAACATC